CCAACGATATAGGTTGGACGGTTGGCTCTCCTGGGAAAGGAATGGCACTGAGGGTGGCTTTAAAACCCCCTACAGTGAAAGGCACAAAGACTATTGGGTGATGCTGAGTTTCATGCAGCCTCCCCCACCCTACCCCACTCCGTGGGCAGAGAGCCTGGTTGGGTTCTGCTCATCTGTGCTGAGCACTAAAGGCCCTGCTAACCAGGTCAGCCCTGCCTGCTCGGCCTCCATTTCCCACCAACAATGAAGAGTAAGAACAGTAGCTATGCCCCAGCTTCTTGTGAAGACTGAATGATTAGACATTCAAAAAGCCCTATCAGAGACCCTGCCATAGAGTAAATACTGTATTTCATTATTATTCCTAAGAATGTGAGGTGAGGTATGTGCATGCATGATCTCTCTCTCTCTCTCTCTCTCTCTCTCTCTCTCTCTCTCACACACACACACACACACACACACTATACCTGCGTGCACATGTGTACTGATTGTTACCCCATAGAGTCTATATTCACACAGTGAATATAGTGTCTGTGTTTGGTCCTGGTGTCATCTCTTTCTTAGGAGGACCCAGGTGTACTCTCCGATAGTGTCCCCTGCCATGCTCAAGGCTCTTTGGCCACCATTTTCACTTGGTTGCTCATTTGGCCTTATGCTTACTTTTGGGGTTTCACTTACTCCATCTTTCCTTTTCGGGTAACAGAGCTGAAGCCCATATTTAAAATTAGTCACAAATGTGGGGAGGAAAAGCTCCCCACATTCTCTGTTCTGATCTTTTTTCCTTTGAGATTATTTCTTCAAAATCCAGTGACCTTTGTCTATCTCTTCAAATTGAAGAGCCATGGAACATCGACTTGGGACCTCCACAAGGGCTCGCCACATCTCCTCCAAAGTCCATCTCCTCCAAAGTCAGCGTGATCTGCTGTGCTGTGACTCTGGCTTTCCCTTCTGGCCCAGTGGGGCCACTTTCCCTTTTATTTCTGTTCCAGGAAGTATTAACACTAGGAGGCTTGTTTGGTCTTTCAGGATGGTGTAACTCCTAATCCTGGTGTGGAGCAAACTTTTCTTCCCAGAAAGCTGCTAGGCTGCGTCTACTAAATGCTCAGTGTGGATTGTGGCTGAGTCTAAACCTATACAGGGAAGGTGTCTGGCTGCAAAGCAGCCAGGGAAGAGTTGCTAGACTCTCCCAGTTCAGGCTGAATTGGCCTCTGTTCATACCAGGACTATCACTGCTATAGGCCTATGCACCTGCTATGCCCTCTCCCTGGAGGGATCAAGTCTTGTGTTCTTGTGGCTTCTTTCAGGCCTTAGCTCAAGAGGCACTGTTGGAAGCATTCCCTCAAGACTATAGAATCTGTCTCCTGACTGTGGTGCCCCATTTGGATGAATCGATGCAGGCATGGAGGTATATGCAAAGCTATCTTCCATTTACCAACACACTGTACCCGTTAACTACGTCTCTGCAGAAGCAGAGAAGCTGCAGGCCAGGCCTTGACTTCAGCCATGTTCATGCCTTCTGCGGCAGTCAATGTGCTTATTTGATGAATGAGTGTCTGCATGACTGAATAGTGACAGTACCAAGAACCGTCCTCCCATTTCAGAGAAGGATTCCTGCATTCAGTCTCCTCAGGTCCCTTAGGGTCAGTTCTTCCAGAAGAAAATGACTGGCTGCCAGGGTTCTCAGAGTTGATTGGAGAGGCATCTACCTTCCCCCTTTTCTCAGCAGGGACTTTCCCTGACTTCTCTGCTAGCATAAGGTCTGGAACCCTTTGAGCCAACCCCTTCGTAGGGGAGCTCTTGGATACAGGGTCTTGGGTCACACAGAACAGGAACCACATGGTTTCATGTGTGTACATGTTAGGGGCTGGTGGGGGCGGGGATTTGCCAACCCTTACCACAAGCCCTTCTCAGGCCTGTTATCTCAGACCCTCAAGCCATTCTAGGCCCTGCAGGGTCTACCAGTGACTGCTGTAGGTGCAGGGCAAGGCCCTGGTGTACAGTGTCTGCCAATGCCCATGGTGTCAACTCTCCTGCCATAGCCAAATCCCTTTATAACCACCACTCCCAAAACAGAAGCAAGATCCATTACATCTGCATCCCTTCAGTGTGGCTCATCTGTTTCCCTTGAATGCCTCCAGAATCTTCAAATAAGCAAAATTTTGATTTTCTTTTGATATTGGTTACCACCAGTTTTAAGTCTTTATAAGGTTTTTTTTTAAGCTTGAATTTTCCAGCATCTCCTTCCCATACAATTGCTACAAATTGTATATTTTGACAGGAAATACAAACAGGCAAAGAGATACCATGACTACAGTAAAGCTTAGAAACAAACCTCCACCATGTCCCTTTTATCAGTATGCATATATGCAATGCATGCATACCCATGGCACTCTTTATGCAGTGTAGGAATGCTTGGGGGATATTTTCTTTTCTGGGAAGTCCCCTAAAGGACCATGTATTAAAGGCTTATTCCTGTACATGCCAACCCAAGTTCATGCTGAAGTTGGAATGTCAATTACAAACTATCTGTCCAAGTCGCCGTGGAAACAGCACCGGTCAGCATGTCAGCCCATCTTTCAGTCCTTCGAGGAGCTCCTCCTTTGCTCAAGTCTCATCTCAGCTGTCACTGACCTCACCTTCATGACTTCTTAGAACACAATTCCTTTCTTCATCCTCCACATTGTGCCTGTCACACTCCAACAGGTGTCACGTTGGTTTTCCCAAAGAGCAAGTCACTCTCCACCCTTGAGCATTCTCCACCTTGCAACCACAGTGGATACCTCCAAGAAAGCTGGCACCAGGCTCCCCACCAACCAAGGCTAGCACCTTTTGATTTCCAAGTCCTAGGGCACCCTTGCTACTCACTTGGCAAGACTTTCTGGGTACTTAATTCTGCTGCCATGACATGCTACCATAGCTTCTGGACAGAGCTACACAGCTGGGTGAGCCTGCAACTCCCAGCTACTCCAGGTGCTGTGGCTTTACTGTGTAGAGGCCCAGGCTGCCTTCCCGAAAGACAAAATGCAACATTTTTTTAAATGGGTAGGTCCTAAAGATCATAATATTTGCTGTGGTGATCAGCAGGGTTTGCTACCCTTCATGTAATGGAATGTCATAGCCATTAACATTTGAAGAATATTTATTGGTATGGGAAAATGCTCACAATATGTTAAAGAAAGCAGGGTACAAATCTATAAACACAGCATGATCCCAATCTTGTAGTAAAATAAATTATATATGCATAGAAAAAACACAGGAAGGGGAGACACTCAACATTAAGACTGAAGATCAGGGAGGGCGGACTCTGGGTCAATGATTAGTCTTATGGTTTCCTGTACATTTTATAAAGAGCATGTATGTCTTTGATAGACAAAGGGGTGCAGGTGGACACCTAGTCCTGGGAGGCAGCAAGACGTGTGTGCTTGCTGAAGTGCCATTTAATCACTTGCAAAGCTTCAGCCTGTCATATATGAAGGAAGGGTGGCATCTGGGTACCTGAAAGGGTCACAGCCATCTGGGAACTGTCCCTTCAAGCAGCTCGAATGCCTTGCTTTAGGGCACACTTCCTCACCCATCTTTCACTTTCGAAGTTCAGTGTAGGCAGAGGGATGGAGACTGTAGTGGTCACTGTCCCATCATTCTCACTGGAGAGGGAATGGCCCACACCACTGTCTCTGACCTAAGGGTGCCCAGGACCTCGTGTAACTCTGCTAACTGACCAGGCTTCTCACTCCCATGCCAGCACCTCCCTGATGGGAAAGCCCAAGACTGCTTCTTCTAGAGGTTATTGCTTAAAATGACCTGAGAAGTACCACTTTCAGCAGCCGGGGCTGCTTCCATCTCAAAGCCTCTGGCTGTGTGGTCAGACATGCAGTAGGGAAGGTGCTTAAATCAAGCCGGCCTGCAGCTGGACTCTGGGGCGAAATTACAGAGAAGACATGGAACTTGATGCTCAGTGCTCTTTCTGTGTGCAAGGTGAAACTACTCCATTTTCTTTCTAAGAATTAACCCTTAAGAAAAAGAAGTGCCCAGTAGAGAGATTTGCAAAGTGAAAGAACTCACTGAGAGCCTAGGAGCACCTCTGCAGCACTATGCAGCAATTTGGGCAGAGCCAGCGAGGAGCATCTCACCAGGCATGGCCTGAGTTATTAGGCTGATACTCATGGGAAAGATATCTGACCAGAGATTATAAAAATACTTTCAAAATGCATTTGTATAATGAAATAACAAAATAGTTAATTAAATTCCCTTTTCTCTGGATTTTTCCACCTAAGCTAAAATCATGAATTGCCAAATAAAGGTTATATGCCATTGGCTAAAACATGGACCACAAACTCTTCCCAACAATTGTGCACAAAAATCCTGTAATGCATGTACTCTTCCTAGTTGCTTACAAAGCATTCTGAATTTGATTTATTCTTTTACAGCAACTCAGGGCCACAATTAGGAAAATATGGCCACAGCATCACATACATTGTTTTCTGAGTCAACTTGGGTACTCTTAGGTAAGCAGAGTTCCAGGTTTGCTCTCCATGGGCAGTGTTTTTCTCTCTCATCTTGGCAGGCACTCTGACCCTATTTGAGCACCAATGAATGGGTGCTGCAGGCCTTTCCAGCCCCAGCTGGCTTCTTTCACTTTCAGCGTGCCGACTTTAACTCCAGTAAACTCCTTTTCTGCTTTTGTGTGTGGGGTGAGGGCTTCAAGTCCAAGCAATCAAACGTTAGAAATGAACGTAAATCTTAGTGATGCAATTTGTTCAGTAAATTTTAAGAAACTGACTGACATCTCTCTGGCAGCTCAAAGGCCTTTTATGATTCAATTCTTGATGTGTGGTTTTGTTAGAAATAATTTAGGATAAATGCCATTCTCACTAGTACTATGCACACTGTCTTTTAAAGAGGTTACATGATGACAAGTGAGGCAACAGATGGAAAAACACTTTAAAACACAAACTGCAATGGTATTGTTAGCCCATGTATCCATAAAGAAACACACACAGATGGCTAAATTGAATCATCCCCAATGTTTTATTTAATTTAAAGTTTTAAAAGGCAGTGGTTAAGCACATAATCTATGTGTGTGCATGTATGTATGTATGTGTACTTATATGTACACTTACATACATATATGAAAAGAAACCAACCCCTTTTCAGCTTTAGCCACGGATCAACTTGGCCTGCTGTCTACATGATTGCACGTCTACTTCATATGACCATTCTAAGAGTAAAAATAAACAGCCTTAATCAGTTTAATAGTAACTATTTGTGTTTCTTTTTTTAATAAATAAAGTTACCATTAAACTGATCACATATGGTAGAAAGAACACACACACAAATACACACAGAGACCCTTGTTTAAAACATGTGACATACGAATGACCTTTATGTACATATGGGTGCTGTTGGCTCCCTACCCCCAGCACAGGCCACAAAAGAACTCCCACTACTCGGGGAGCCCCATCCTCTCTGTTGCCTGGAGGATGAGTATGTACTTGGCACCCTGAGTGAGACCTCAGAATGCACGCTCTGGATGCAGTGGTACAGATGGTGGTCCAGCCCTACGGTACTTGTAGTGTTCAGGAACTTGAGGAATAAATAGGCACATGTAGCTGCCTGGAACAAAACCATCATTTCTAACTCCTCATAGGAGAGATGTATTCTGAAGTTTTAGCTAAGTGACATACAAATTTTCTGAGTGTAACAGGTTTCTCTGTGTGTGTGTTTCCACATTTACAGAAAACTGAAATGAAGGGTGGAGCTGGGTTTACAGAGCAGCTGCCTGGCTTCCATTTAGTCAGTGCTGATCTAAGGAGTCACTTGCCTCAGCCCTTGTTTGCCAGCTCCTTGGGCTCTCATGTGCCTTGGGGTTGCTGGAGAGACTTGGAAGGGGTGGTTTACATGAGTGGGTGAAAAGACATGGCTGAATCTTCGGCTAGGAATCCTGGCAACAAGACTACAAGCCTGGACCAGGGCTGCTTCTGAGTGAAGGCCGCACTGCATCCTCATGAAATGGAATGACTGTCTCTGCTCCTAGCCCGAAACTCTGCCTAACTCCCGCTCTGTGTGACGTCTCAGTGTTGCAGAGAACACAGGACCACCTCTTAAATACGCTGGGTTCTCAACGAGTAAACCAGCTAATGTGTTTCTAGCCAAAGCAAGGGCATAAATGTTTTAGAGAAAAGGATTCCCCTGGAGCTACAGAGAAAAGATGCTGATAAAAGCCATATTGAGAGTGGAGCAGGTGACGATGCTTTTCAGTCTGTGTCGGAGCTGGTCTCTTCGATGACAGAATACTGGCTGAGTGCTTCCTCCAAAGGCGTTATTGTCCCGTCAGGTTTTAGTCCCATTGGTTTAAGCAACTCCTCTCTGGAAAAAGAGATAAAAGAAAGAAAAAAAAAAAGTATTCACCAGCATCACACACACGCCCCTCCCCCACCCAGATCCACATCCTTTTAAAAGAGAAGTCTTTAAAATCCAAAGTATTTTCTCTCTCGCTCTCTGTGTGTGATAGAAAGATGAAAGGGGCATGGGAAGAAAAAGAGGGAGATGAAAGACTTCATTCACACAAGCCAAACCTACTAAGCCAATTAAACTATGAAAAGTCAAGGTCCAAATGGGCTCAGGACAAGGAGCAGGTCTCTTCTGTTTTGAATAATTAACTTTTTCCCCTCTTGTGGATTCATTTGTTTTAGAGAAGTTGAAGCTGCCAGAGTTTCACCTGCCCAACTTAGAATTAAACACACGTTTCATTTAACAGAATCAATCTGTCAAATTTGGTTTTGTTCCCATGGTCTCTGACTCATGAATACTTGTTGATTCATTTCAAATCAGTTGGATTTCCCCAGGTTTTCTTTCCTTTTCGCTCTCTTTCCTTCTTTTTGGTTAAAACACCACTGCTTTTGTTTGTGGCAGTTTAATTACAGGATTGACAGCCATTTTTAATCTCTTCAAAGCTCCCCAACTGTCTTCACCTAATCCAATTGTATCCACTCCACAAGTTACAGCCTCATCTAAGATGGTTAATTATTGATTAAGCCAATCAAAAAGCACCAGGAAGATTTATTTAATCTTTTTCATAACCCTTGTTTATATTACACGGAGATTGTGACGAATGTACCTATTGAGCTGGTAACTCCATTCCTTCCACTCCCAAAAGCTAGTAGTGCACTTAAGAGAGCGAGCGTCAAAGGCCCAGGAGCCCCTTCAAACCTGTTTCTCATGGAAATGGTCACCACTGCCTGAGAACATGGTGCAGCAGCTGTCGTGTTGGTGGGCTGTGGTGTGAGGGAAACAATAACACTTGGCCTCTCTCCTTGTTACTGTCCCTTCAGGCAACACAAAGAAGGGTTCTCTCCTGGGAAAGGGCATCGATATAGCTGTGGCAGCACAGTGAACCCTGGGGAAGTAGGTTCAGCTTAGTGACTGGGTTAAAGAAACAGGAGTCTCAGCAAGTGGTTCTGGCCAGTGCCAGAGGATGACTGCTGAGACCAGGGTCCGGAAAGTATGGATGGCTGACTGCTAGCTAAACCAAGGTTCCTGCATGTTATATGCAGGGAACAGGATCAAAATCATGAAGCTTAAAGTTGGAAGAGGTCTCACAGATCATTTAGTCTGACCCCCTTTAAAAGGGGGCCACTGAGTGGCAGAGTTGGGCATGGGACAGGTCTCCTGAACCCTACCTAGTCCAGTGCTCTTTACAGTGAGTCCATCTCAGTTGGCTGTTCTAACTGCATGGAAAAGCAGTTGAATTCACTGTTCAACAACCATGTGACAGGAACTGCCACTTGCTGGGCAGATGAGTAAGACAAGTGGTAGCTGCTGCCCTTGATGACTGGACAAAAACAAACAAACAAACAAACAAACAAACAAACAAACCCAAGATGACTTGGGCCACAGGTGGGGTAAATGTCCTGAGAGAACTGTGGATTCGACACTGTGGCTCCTGAGAAGAAGCATGGCCACACTACCTGGGAGAGGCAGAGAAGGCATCACAGACAAAACCAGACACCCTATGCTGGGCAAAGGAGACTGTGGAAGGCTCCGTTGTCTTGTGTGACTGTGTTAATTTGCTTTTGCTGCTTTGTGTTCTTGTAAGGCTAGACAAGGAACCAGTGTTTAGGGAAGAGAGGGTCTAGGAAGAAGTGAGGGGCAAGAGGGAAGGCTAACAAGGTCAGAGGAAGGAGCTTAGCATTCGTCCTGTAGTGTCTATGGGATCACACTCTGGGAGTGCTGTGGCTGATATAGTGCAATCGGTGACAGGCAGGTTAGGTATTAGGAGGTCATTGTAATGCTGTGTAATGAGAGAAAGAGATGGATTAGGGCTGAGGCTGGGGCAGGAAGGCATCACACCTCATGTAGGTGTGAGAGAGGGCTGGTGAAGGTGAGTGGTACAGTGCCCCTATGGCTCCAGGGCAGGTATTAAGGCTAAGGCTATGGCACTACCTACAGGAGCCAGAACACAGGAAAGATGCCTGGTAAAAAACCCAAACCCAAACCCAAGCCAACCAAACAAACACAAAACCTTAAGAACCTAATGACCTCAGTTTAAAGGTGTTGGTAACTGAAGGCAGTGAGGTATGGTAAGGACTGAACACTAAGGAGAAGAAGTAGAACTGGCAGGGGCCCTACCAAAGACAGTGATGAAACACCTGATAGACACACCATCACTGACAGTACTAACACAATTACATTTCCAAAATAACAGGTCAATCCTGGGACTAGCTGCCCGTATGCCAACTACTCAGCTACTTTCTATATAAACCCAGGAAGAATATTTCCAAATTAAGTCTTCCATCTTTATTCCTACCCTCTAGTCAAACTCTACAACTAGGAATAATTGAGAATCTTAAAGTTTCACGGTCAGTTTACAATAGTTAATTTATAGAACAAAGGGCACCCACTTTTTCATTCTCACTTGTTAACTATTTTCAAGCATTTAGGGGGTGCTCTGCATCACCCTCCATTAAAATGGAAGCCCCTCAGAAGGTATGAATTATTTTCTTTTCCACATGGCTCCATGCAATGTTTCTTTGTACTGATATTTCTGTAGGAACGGAGTCAGTGCAACTTGGCCACAGTCATGCATTCATGCAAATAAATTAAGACAGCAACGTGATGTGTGGGAAGAGCAAACAGACTGTAAGTTAGCAAGTCTAAGGTCTGGTCTCTTCCACTTCCCAGCAGTGAAATCTTAGTTTCCCCATCTGTAAAATGGAGGCATGGTAATAACAGCTCTGCCTACTTCCCAGTGATGACATGGAAGTCCCAGAACAGCAGTGGTAGCAGTAACAGTATAGATCAAAGAGTTCTGTGAACTGGAGAGGACTCGAGTGTTTACTGTAGGGGAGTGAAAAGCACATATAGGTTCTAAATCCAGACCTGGGTTTTAATTCTAGATCTAGAGCTCATTAACTGCAAGACCTCGAAAATTCTAAACTTTGATTTCATTCTCTGTAGAACTAGACCAGGGACATGCACCTCACTAAGCGATCATGAATGCACAGACCACAGACTACACATAGAAAATGTGCAGTGTAATGGATGGGATATAACTGGAACCCACAAGCTGTACTCTTGTTCCTTGTGTTTACAGAAGGCTTCCCCTTCCTGATAAAATAGTATAACTGGGGGAGCATTGGAGGAGAATATGCAGAAGCAGAAGACATGGTCTCTGTCCTCTCACTTTGGAAGATCTCTCGCTCTCTCTTCTCTCCTCTCTCTTCTCTCTCTCTCTCTCATGCACACACACACACACACACACACACACACACACACACACACACACACACACATTAAACAATATCAAAAAGGTTACAGGACAGCAGATCAACAAACTTAGGATGATTGACAGCCAGAACCCTGCTTTCCCTGAGCCAGAACCCTGCTTTCCCTGAGCTGTACAGCTCACCAGTTGACCCCTGCTGTCTGTGAAATGTGTTCAAGGAGATTTCCTGTCCTGTCTGAGAGCAGGAATGGATAATTTACTAGCCTGTGACTGCTTTACCCATGGACCCTGGATTGCTTCTTGTACTCTCAAGTCCAACTTTGCTGCTCTTCTGTCCTAAAGCTAGTACAGCAACCTGCAAGCACCAAACAAGAACTTGCTCTAGAGACTCACTGCTAACCCTAATGGATGCTGTGGCTACCTTAAGAACCTAATGACCTCAGTTTAAAGGTGTTGGTAACTGAGGTAAATGTCGGTTTCATTTACATCTGTTTGTGTCCAGGTCAACAAGAAAAGGACGGAGAATAGGAACCTTTTCATGAACACTACAGCAGTGTTCTTCCACCGTCACATGGCAGTGCACGTGTGGGAGGGTCACATCCCTGCAGGTCCCTTGCAGGAGGCAGACTCGAGGCTACACTAATGGCAGTGAAGACATGGCATTATAGGAAGAAAGGCATCCCAGAAGCAGGGTTAGTCAAGCAAAGGCACACAAGTGAGAGTTAGTTATGTGCAAGGCCGGCAAGCATGTTGGCTAAGCTGAGAAAAAGAAAACGAAAGCTCAAAAGTTCTATGAGGCATGAAAGTGGGGCTGGAAACCCGGGCTCCAAAGTTGAAACTGGACTGCGTATGGAGGGATTTTTGTCTCCTATTTCAAGAGCCACCTCACTATTTAAGAGAATTTATTAACAAAAACCATTACTACACAGTTTGAAAGCTGCAAACAATACTGTTCTGACATATTAAAAGAAACTGTTCTGTGCTTTAGTTAATCAGGTCATAGTCCTCCTGTGTTCTGGCACAGGGCCTTAGAAAGCAGTTTCTTCAGTTAAGCACCCATGAGCTGGCCTTGTTACATAAGTCACATACCATATAGGCTCCTCACAACTAAGCCACAAACAGGACACAGGCTAAATTTGTGAGCAGATTTGCTTTCATCAAGATTTGTAGGTTCAGGAAAGGATTGCCAGTCCTCAGGAAACCCTGCTATAGAATCAAGAAAGGACTACTAATCCACAGAAGAACATGATTCTCACAGGATCAGGAAGGACTACTAATCCAAAGGAAATCCTTTCACAGGATCAGGAAATCCCCTCACAGGATCAGGAAGGACTACTAATCCACAGGAAATCCTTTCACAGGATCAGGAAATCCCCTCACAGGATCAGGAAGGACTACTAATCCACAGGAAATCCTCTCACAATATCAGGAAATCCCCACACAGGGTCAGGAAGGACTACTAATCCACAGGAAATCCTCTCACGGGATCAGGAAAGACTACTAATCCACAGGAAATCCTCTCACAGGATCAGGAAGGACTATTAATGCACAGGGAATCCTCTCATAGGATCAGGAAATCCCCTCACAGGATCAGGAAGGACTACTAACCCACAGGAAGCCCTGCCTGCCAAATGCTGTCCAA